GATGCACTACTCATAAGGTTGCTGAAAACTCCTCAACAGTTTCAAGTAGAACATAAGGTTGACGGAAACCCGGGGACTGCGCCTACCTGATGAGCCACAAAGAGGGCGAAACCGGTCGTGGACTGTCGACGAATTTTCAGCAACCTTATGAGTAGTGCATTAAAGAAATTAGTTAGCGCCCGAATTACGAAAAATCCGAGCAACTATGCGTGTTTTTTGCATATCCATCGGGCTTTAGGATAGATGAAAAGTTGAGGTCGCAGTCTAAGGTATCCCGGTGGCTTATGCTTGCGGTCATAAGATGCCACCGCATTGAGACATGTTAGGACAGACACTAAACTGTGATCATACTTGAAGTTTGGTGCAGTGCCATACACTTTTTGGCCTCGGTTTGCACCGTCTAAACGCTGATAACAAAATGGTAGCTCGTACAATCATTCGACTCTGTTAGATAGGTCGGGCCTTTTAAATACTGCTATATTTCGATAAAGTATAGTTCCTGGGGAGGATTCTCACTGCAAGAATGGGGCTAAGATTTTGGTCCACCGTCCTCAAGGCGATTCGTTTACTTCAGCACTTTCGTTTTTGAAGGATCATTTTAAAGAACCGACAGAAAAATGGTTTCTTTTTTGCACTAGTCACTATTGGGAGAGTGCTTGATACTAAAATCCACTTCTCTTCTGGGGCCTGATTTCTCCTGAGAAGAGGAAGGAAGCATGGTAATAGAAGGAAGTGAGTACAGTCTAGTATTCATGATTTGTATCTATTTGTTCTTGATTAGTACATTCGAATGTATGAAAGGCTCCCTCTAAGGGACCTCTCCGAGAGGGATAGCCCCTTCTGAAAATCACCTTTATTTGGTCTTCTGAGGGGAACAATTGTACCTTGAATTCCCCGGAAGTACTTCTCCCACTATCACGTATTTTGCAATCTACTTGCCTCTCGTCATCCGCAGCGTGAACTCGCTGGACTTTGCGCACAATGCGAACGATATGTCGGTATGCAAGGCGGAGGTATGGATCAGGCTGCAAGTCTTTTGGGATGTGAGGACAATGTAAGATGTTTTGTTTTTGCTTTTTGGATTCAACCTGACTCAATGTGTTCCAAATCCACCACCATAGTGTGTTTTGCTCTATTGAGCCGCAATTTTTCACGAGTATTTGGGCTTTAAACATTGTCACTGTGGGGAAGACGCGACCCTATGTGTCATAGCTTCTTGGTGTGGCATAAATTTTTGGAGATCGTTTTTTATGTCCCACAGCTTAAGATTACCATTGCCACTCCCTAGCCTGAGAGTCCAGGTGATTCGAAAAAAAATATGTCACCTGGTCGTTGATCAGATGGCCGTTGTTCCGTTCGCCGAGCTTGACAATTGGCTTGCAAAAGGTGATTCGAAATATGTCACCTGGTCGTTGATCAGATGGCCGTTGTTCCGTTCGTCGAGCTTGACAATTGGCTTGCAAACGTTTCTTCACTTCAGTGTTAACATGTCTCCTCGACTGAGGATGAAACATTTGCAGACCAGTTGCGAAGCTGGGCGAACAGATCAACAGCCATCTGATCAACCACCAGTAAACCCACCCTAGCTACCAACATTTCGACAAATCGATGGCACCTATTTTGGACCTGTGGAGTTTGGAATAAAACGCCACATAACCACGTTCCTTATCTACCTTGAAAGAGTGGAATCACTTAGTAAGATAGAAAAAAATCGTCCAGCTGTAGCACCCTTTCGGTGCCTAGCTGCCATGCCACCAGAAGGATGCACTAGGGCTGGAATACTGCCAGGTTGCTCAATCCTAGACAGGGGGAGTCGAGATGCAGAGGTCGGTTTCGAACCACTGACCTTCCGGTCAGTTAGTTCACTCTCTAACCACTTGAGCCGTCTCGCCCCGGTAAGGTAGAAGAATCTTTGTAATATTCATTTATTCAATAAATGTATGCCAGTTATCTTCAGGTGTAACTTTTGGGCTCAGTATGTACCCCTCTACCTGATAGTTTATTCACTCGGCTTCTGTTTCCTGTTCTCTGGCCAATCTGTAACACTTTTTCAGAGCGAATAATTCTTTCCGGGCTATTCATGATATAAATCTGTTGCCTGAACGAACCATACCAATCCGGCAGTTAATTAGTTGTGTTTCCAGTTTCCACAGTTGGTATCCAAAATTTCCACGAAATTTGTAAGCTTCTTTCAAACAATCCATTACTGCCATCAGCCCTTTTAAGTAGGAAGAGGAATACTTCGGTATACTGGATCTCGTTCCAGCTGAAACGCGAAGTCACCTTTGTCTCACACATTCAGTTGAAGGATATTGTAAACGAGAGAGTTAGCTGAGATGTATTTGATTTACGACAAAAAGTGGGCTAGATATGAAGTCAATCACCTGGCAACTAACACTTATTTCGCGATGGTGAGTACTTTTTCGGATGAAGTATCCTAGCTACCTATCAGAAGTGAAATTGCTTGAACGAGTTTGCAGGTGTTTTGGTCGTAGATCGACCCGGAAATTCAGTGGTGTCCTGACGTAAAGGTGGGATAGGATCGGGGGGTGGTTTTCTGCAGGCAATATATGGTCAGAACTACTTGTGATGGGTGCGTTTGGAGTGGTGAATGTTACTCATTTTCACTCCAGGAACCGTGTATCCGCTCTTGCACTTGTACGATTGTCCGGCAGTCTTACCGATCTGGCACATTTGTGTTCGGTCTCGTCTTATTATCGTCGAAAACTCCGTTTAATTCGGACAGTGAACAGTGGCTGTTTTAATCATCTCAGATGCGATTTGGAGGAATCGATAGATCATTCAAAACTCCCCTGAGAACATGCTTCTAGAGGTTGTCATCATCGTCTATGGTAGATGGCGTCGGTTATCTCCGGTACGCACAGTTCATAATTTATGCGAGCTGAATTGCTGGTAGGATGCCAAAACCTGATCAACTACTAAAGCCCCTGATTCGAAAGTCCGACCTCAAGACAGCAGTAGTTGTAGAAACGGCTACTAGGGAACCCAGTTTTTGTGGAGCGAGTGGCCAAACACGTCCTAACTCATTGAATGACTCTGACTGTCACACAGACGACCACGAATGCAGCTCGATGGGTTGCTGATGTAACGACACCATGGCGTCCTGTATCACAGGTAGGGTTTGTGAATTCTCTTAAGGTGAACTAACAATTCACCCGACGAAAGCGCATAAATGAGCCTCTCCGGAGCGAAACCGGTTCACAGATGGAGCATATTGAGAACCGTTTACTTTACCACTATTCACATCATCCCATTGCATTACGACTACTGAAGGGACTTGGGACTGATGAAATGTGCAACTTTTTGCAGAGTTCAATTCGCAAGGCGGCACGGTTGAGAACTACTTTGGTTTTTGTTGCCGCAGGTGTGCTTTTCACTCAATCACCAAATCGAAGGTTCAGACGTCTACATGACTTATACCATCTCGTTGCATGCACAGTGAATTTCCCCGAACAAATGTACCATGATCGAATTCACCGAAATGCCACAAAAGGGTTATGTTTGGCAAGGGTACAAGCATAACCTAAACTGGGGATCTCGCCATTCACTACTGCTTTTGCTGGGTACCAGTGTGCTATTAACATGTCTCCTCGACTGAGGATGAAACATTTGCAGACCAGTTGCCAAGCTGGACGAACAGATCAACAGCCATCTGATCAACCACCAGTAAACCCACCCTAGCTACCAATATTTCGACAAATCGATGGCACCTATTTTGGACCTGTGGAGTTTGGAATAAAACGCCACATAACCACGTTCCTTATCTACCTTGAAAGAGTGGAATCACTTAGTAAGATAGAAAAAAATCGTCCAGCTGTAGCACCCTTTCGGTGCCTAGCTGCCATGCCACCAGAAGGATGCACTAGGGCTGGAATACTGCCAGGTTGCTCAATCCTAGACAGGGGGAGTCGAGATGCAGAGGTCGGTTTCGAACCACTGACCTTCCGGTCAGTTAGTTCACTCTCTAACCACTTGAGCCGTCTCGCCCCGGTAAGGTAGAAGAATCTTTGTAATATTCATTTATTCAATAAATGTATGCCAGTTATCTTCAGGTGTAACTTTTGGGCTCAGTATGTACCCCTCTACCTGATAGTTTATTCACTCGGCTTCTGTTTCCTGTTCTCTGGCCAATCTGTAACACTTTTTCAGAGCGAATAATTCTTTCCGGGCTATTCATGATATAAATCTGTTGCCTGAACGAACCATACCAATCCGGCAGTTAATTAGTTGTGTTTCCAGTTTCCACAGTTGGTATCCAAAATTTCCACGAAATTTGTAAGCTTCTTTCAAACAATCCATTACTGCCATCAGCCCTTTTAAGTAGGAAGAGGAATACTTCGGTATACTGGATCTCGTTCCAGCTGAAACGCGAAGTCACCTTTGTCTCACACATTCAGTTGAAGGATATTGTAAACGAGAGAGTTAGCTGAGATGTATTTGATTTACGACAAAAAGTGGGCTAGATATGAAGTCAATCACCTGGCAACTAACACTTATTTCGCGATGGTGAGTACTTTTTCGGATGAAGTATCCTAGCTACCTATCAGAAGTGAAATTGCTTGAACGAGTTTGCAGGTGTTTTGGTCGTAGATCGACCCGGAAATTCAGTGGTGTCCTGACGTAAAGGTGGGATAGGATCGGGGGGTGGTTTTCTGCAGGCAATATATGGTCAGAACTACTTGTGATGGGTGCGTTTGGAGTGGTGAATGTTACTCATTTTCACTCCAGGAACCGTGTATCCGCTCTTGCACTTGTACGATTGTCCGGCAGTCTTACCGATCTGGCACATTTGTGTTCGGTCTCGTCTTATTATCGTCGAAAACTCCGTTTAATTCGGACAGTGAACAGTGGCTGTTTTAATCATCTCAGATGCGATTTGGAGGAATCGATAGATCATTCAAAACTCCCCTGAGAACATGCTTCTAGAGGTTGTCATCATCGTCTATGGTAGATGGCGTCGGTTATCTCCGGTACGCACAGTTCATAATTTATGCTAGCTGAACTGCTGGTAGGATGCCAAAACCTGATCAACCACTAAAGCCCCTGATTCGAAAGTCCGACCTCAAGACAGCAGTAGTTGTAGAAACGGCTACTAGGGAACCCAGTTTTTGTGGAGCGAGTGGCCAAACACGTCCTAACTCATTGAATGACTCTGACTGTCACACAGACGACCACGAATGCAGCTCGATGGGTTACTGATGTAACGACACCATGGCGTCCTGTATCACAGGTAGGGTTTGTGAATTCTCTTAAGGTGAACTAACAATTCACCCGACGAAAGCGCATAAATGAGCCTCTCCGGAGCGAAACCGGTTCACAGATGGAGCATATTGAGAACCGTTTACTTTACCACTATTCACATCATCCCATTGCATTACGACTACTGAAGGGACTTGGGACTGATGAAATGTGCAACTTTTTGCAGAGTTCAATTCGCAAGGCGGCACGGTTGAGAACTACTTTGGTTTTTGTTGCCGCAGGTGTGCTTTTCACTCAATCACCAAATCGAAGGTTCAGACGTCTACATGACTTATACCATCTCGTTGCATGCACAGTGAATTTCCCCGAACAAATGTACCATGATCGAATTCACCGAAATGCCACAAAAGGGTTATGTTTGGCAAGGGTACAAGCATAACCTAAACTGGGGATCTCGCCATTCACTACTGCTTTTGCTGGGTACCATTTACTCTCTTCCCAGCTATTGCCTTCTTGGGACCATTGACGCTGGTCGTCCCCCTTAGTGCTTCTTTGTTGTATTGGTCGACTCATCAGTATTGAGCACAATAGATCGGGTTTGGTGGGCGCCACTACACTCGACTTGTCGTACTAGTCCACAGAGGTTATACTACGTCATCAGCTCACCAGTTCGTCACCGTTGCAGTACCTGTCTGGATTTAGCATTCCTTTGTAATGATATTACTGTTTTGGGTTGGTTGCAAAAGTGAGTGAACCCTGCGTGCTTGTGCAACTTTCCAGTCATTATTCAGGACCAATGCTAACACTTGTAGCAGGCCGGAATGATTGACCCCAGAACTTGCAACCACTTTTCAATATAGCTGATCGAAACCAACCAAATATATTCTAGATGAGAAATTATTATACTTTCAATTCGGCTTGGAGTCACTCGAATGTTATGATTTCAGTGATCCGACGCCTTCATCAGTGTCCTAGCACTAGTAAGCAGAAATCCTTGCAAATCGCATACTTGTGTCGGAGCGGTCATCAAGCCTGTCGAGCCCAGGTACATCGCTCGGCGAAGTTGAACAGCACCAAATACTCGCCCCATGTGATCAAGGTCGTTCAGCCTCGATGCTACTGAACTACTTGCCTCCTGTGGAATTTTTGTTTGATGGCCCGAATCTACCTGGACCACATCTTTCGTGTAGTCGCAAGATGGATACCAAAGTGTCCTCAAAACACTTGGGTTTCCGTGAGGTGCTACCATGGGAAATTTACAGCATAACTTTCTAGTTGAAGCTGATCACATTTGCTCGGTGGCAATTACTGTTCACTACTTCATAGCTGTTAATTTATTTTCTTGATCCTGTGTTATAATGCCGGATTCACTTAGCCATACTCAACCTTGAAGACGTAGTCCGACCCGGATTCAGGCAATCCAATCACTTCTTTCCTTGTCGTGTCACGTGACTCCGCTGCCAAACAAATCGAAATCTGACAGGGGTTGTCCAATTTTTGGGTTGTTTATGCTGAGGAGTCGCTTGTTTTTGTCACACTCGTTTTTGTTACTCCCTACTCTGCGGCTATTAGCACGCATAAATGAAGACTTTTTTCGATTCTGGACTGTTCATTTCCGTTGACCGGATTCCTGCCTTCCTTTATTGACACACGTCATCCGACACCCGACACAAATTTGCCCAATAAATTCATAGTTTTCCCATTCTGCTGCAGCAACACTAACGCTGGTAAACGAGCGTATTTCGCTAATTTCGTGCAATTTGGTTTCAAGTAGAACATAAGGTTGACGGGAACTCGTGGACTGCGTCTACCTGATGAGCCCCAAGGAGGGCGAAACCGGTCGTGGGTTGTCGACGAATTTTCAGCAACCTTATAAGTATTGCATTACAAATGGCAATTTTTTCCATTCCATTCACTCGACTTTATGTTCATTCGTTTTGATGTTACTTACTGACTGAAAGGTCTTCAGCATCTTGACTTCCTCTGTCTAGGCGTGGGTAAAGTGGCAGTATGTGAGCTTTCATGCTTTCTTCCGGTAACATGGCAGCTGGGTACCGAAAGGGTGTTACAGCTGTACGTTTTTTATTGGCGCGAATATTCATATTTCTGGCTGGTGCATACAAAACTGTCCCGTTATCTGGTTGGTAAAGAACGCTTAATTTTTGTACCGCCTATTAAAATCCGAGTTTGACTAGCCATTCCTACATGGAAATTAATGGTAGTTATTGATTATTTGATAGATCTAGAGTTTCTATGCACTATTCCGTCATTTACCGCACCCTTCTTACCTTCATCTCTTATTGCAATAAAAGATCACATGGGCGTTTTCCAGGTTGAGTTACTTACCTAAGCTAATTTTATGAGGAGCCCGATGATGTTGCGACATGGTGTATCAGTTCTGTTCGGAGCATCGGTAGACGAATACATGTCTCGGGGAGCATGTAGGCCTTTTGAGAGGTCGTAATATTCCTCTTTGGTTCTGGATACTTCTTGCTCGCTTTGGGATCACAGTGGAAAAGTGTCTGACCCCTGACCTTGTCTACATGAACAAAACGTCCTGGTAGAGGAGAGTACCGCAACACAGTCTCATCCGTTACCAAAATTTTACGGATAACTAGAAGGGCGGCCGGCTTTGAGACTGCTCCAATCTGTTCAGTTTTCAAAGGAAAAGGTCATTAGAGGCATTTGTCTTCCCACCATCACCATCCATAAACACGCGAAGTTCCTGCATGTATTTAGCGAATAGGCACTCATTTGCAAACCAATTTGGTTCTTTCGAGAGACTCACCTGGAACCCAGCTGAATCCCTCGCTTATTATGTTCTGCATGTATTTATTATTATTACTGCCACGTCACAACTGATTGTCGGAAGACAGTAAACCTAAGGGCTCTCTTGTTCTGAAGTAATACCTTTATACATCTTACCATGGAAAGAAGACTCAATTGCATAAAATACGTATTGCCAAGTTGCTTAAAGCCCTTCTCAATCATTTTCAGGCTTTGCTGTGTCGGGGCACATTGGGTAGGACTTATCTGAAGATCGGACTGGACTTACATTTGACGAAACACACTCAGTTGCGAATTAAGTTTGGGTCAGCGGGAAACCTAACCGAATCCCAGCTGATTTCTACTTAGTTAAACGTCTAGTTGAAGTCTGAACCAGTGTTACAGTGAGACCCAAATAAACCTCTAGTTTTGGGTTACCTTCCTGCTAAAAAACATCTGGAGATTTATTCGGGTCTCGATTTACCAACAACGCAATTTCCAACTGAATGGTTGGTTGCGCAAAATATCGATCCAGCTGATAAGTGGAACCAGGTTAGAACCAGATTGAAATTTCATTGATAATGGCGACCAAGCCAATCAGCTGAAGGAGTATATAGGACGCATTAGACAATGTCTATACTGGAACTTGTGAAATAAGCGAGAGTAATCATAGGCGGAATCTTTTGGGCATGCAATCAATAAAAATCAGTCTCTTTTTGGTCAAATACACTTCATTTCTATTCTGTATCATCTGAGTAGGACGATTGTATCATGCCTGGTTGAGGACGTGAGTTAACGAAGCCTGGATTGTTCTGCAAAACTTTGAGAAAACTAACCAGTCCCCTCGTACCTCAGTGATAAGCGTAAAGATTTAGCTGGTGTTCCTTCTTTCCAATTGGTGTGTTGTAGACAGTTGGAGAGGTGACAGATGTAACTATGATATCGCACTCCTTGTTCCATTCGTTTGTCTTGAGATATCGTCTATGAGTTTAGATTCCTCTTCAGTTGAGGAAGGTATAATACCATCGTTATCTAAACGCGGCGATAGGTCTTTGTGCTTTATCATAACCGGATCGTCTAAACTTAGCTAGGAGCGAGAATGCGTTCCAGACAGCTGGAGCCAATCGATCCTAATACTTTTGATCTTTGTGCCTCTGAAATGACAGCTTTAACTTTGGGGGTATGCGTTTTACGCCAACCCGCACGAGCTGTGGTTCTGAGACAACCATCGTCAAAGTCCTGAAGACGTCTCATTTCCGCCGCCCGAACAAGCCAAGTCTCACAGCCATACAACAAGACAGCCCGCACGGTAGCCTGATACACATTGGCCTTGAGATTCAGTGATATACCGCTTTGACACCACAGGTATCTCAAATTAGCAAACGCGACCAAAGCCTTGCAGACACACGCACTGAACTCATCTGTCACTCTACATTCAGAATTAATGCAACTTTTGCACAACTTCCAGTACATTTCCCTGGATTGTAAGCGGTGCACTCAGTGACTGCAGGTCCAAGAGCATCACCTTACACTTTGTGGGTGCAAAGTGCATACCAAAGGACAGGATGATTCTGGTCAGTTAATCCAGAAGCGCCTGCGCCTTCTCCTCCCCTTCGAATATGAGAACGATGCTGTCTGCGTATTCCAGGTCGACAAGGTTTTCTTCGCAGATGATTTGAACACCAGCGTTTTGGAGACCTTCCAGAGTTCGTCTCATTATCTCGTTGATTACGAAGTTAAATAGGGCTGGAGGGAGTAGGCAGCCTAACGGACACGGCTTTGTGCACGGAAACTTTTCAAGAGCTCGCCGGAAGTCTGAGAATACAGTGAACTTATTATGTTCACAAACTTCCGAGGTATTCCTTGATGGGCAAGCGTGTTAAGAAGAACAGACCGATCAACCGAGTCGAATGTGCCTTGGAAATCCAGGGATGCTAAAATTGTGGTTCGCTTATACGCATGGCGCTGTTCTAGCACCTGACGGAGTGTGGAGATTTAGTCAGCGCAACCCTTACAAGGCCGGAGTCCTGCTTGCTGCTCTCGAGTCAGTGTTTTGCGAGCCACCGTAAGGCGACGAAGCACAACCGACGCCAGAGGGTCTCGTTACAACCCCCTAGGTCAACTGCAGTCCTTCTGGTTACCCTTATAAGATCCTTGGTTACCCTTAATAAGATCCTCTTTTTGAAAAACGGGAACTATGACCGATTCCCCCCTGTTGCCTGGAAGAGTCTCCTTTCCTACATACAGGAAAACAGATTACTCAAGTGCTGACTGAGAACTTCACCCCCATCTTTGAGCATTGCGTGTTGGAAGTCATTTGGATCAGAATTTCGGTGGTGCTTGAGAGAACCTCCGAGGCCGTAGAGGATCCCACGTTCACCGCCCAGGGTTCTACGTCAACTGTAGGCTTCAGATGAGAGGCAGCTGGTAGCTACGACAATTGTCTTCCAACGTATTCGGCCCAACGGTCAGGGCGTTCTCCCTCCCTCAATATGAGTGCTCCATTCTAACCCTTGATAACTTCTCTCATTGAAGTAATCCTCGAGCATTCCCAGCTTTCTGGGCCTTTTCCATTTCCTTGGCTCTCCGCATCCACCATAATTTACGATCGGCGCGCGCGCTCACTTTTATCCGAGGTCTGATAACTCGTCGAGTGGTGTTATGTTCGGGACCGGCGGGAATATTTCCCAAAAATTTGAGTAGTGACATTGTTCGGTCTGATATCCAGTGCTTGATTGAGCCTGGTAGCGCCGTGTCACAGGCAAAACTCCCAGCACTGTGCAAAGAAGTGACGATCTCGTCTCAGCATGAATTCACATATGACAGTGGATCATTTAGAAGAGAATCTAAAATTTGATTGTGGTAAATTCGTCTAACATCCGGATCTGTCAATCTCTCAGCTGCTAAGCGATTTGCCTGCACCTTACGCGGCCTTGGAAAACGAAGGGAGGACGACTCCGGACTAGCGCGTGGTCGGAATCCACAAATGTGTCCCGAAAAGGCCGGCAGTTAGTTATTGATCCACGCCTTCGGTAACTGATGGCAGTGTGATCGATTTGAGTTCGTAGCCGGCATGCCGTCGGTGAACACCTTTTAGCCAGATGACTTCAAATATTTCGGAGATTAGTACTGCATAAAGCGACCTGCGATCAGCACATAGCTGAAGCGATCGTCCACCATTGTCCGTACGTACCGAGTCCAATACTTGTCGACCTCCTGTTCGAGTCTCAGACACCCTGAGCCTGCTCGTTTGTGCATTGAAATCTCCGGCAATCACGATGTCTGAGCTTTTAGTTCGCCGCACTAGGGCGTTAAGAGCTCCGTAAAACCCGTCTTCGACGGCGTCGGAGCTACACTAAGTCGGGGCGTAAGCAGACACGATAAATGGACATCTCTCAGCTTTTCGCTTGTGAGACTCCTCCATAGACTTTGTCAGGTAGACCAAAAACAGGCGGCCGTCAACCAATATCCAGGCATGGAAGCCTCCTTCAGTTCGGCGACTTAGGACGATACCAACCCCTGCACATCCTGCCGCAGCAGCACAGGCACTTTTTCACCCTGCCAGCTTTTGGTTACATCCATGAAATTCGCATGGAACCGTTTGCTTTGCGAGTTTTCTGAATGGACGTCCCATTTGGTGGTGCGCGGGAATTCCCAAACCTTGTGCAGATGCAACACTGGGGATGTCGGGGAATTTGCAAGTTTGTGAAAGACAATCTTCGACGCTGTTAAAGATAATTCCACACCGTATGGGGACCACCTTGGAGACTGGGGAAAGTTTCCTTAGGGGGCTTTTGTCGAAATGAGTTTCACTGAACCAATCAGAAATGGTATAATAGGTGTCCTTTGTAGGAGGAAAGGGCAACTGTAGGTACGGACAAACCTTCGACGTCACCTCATGCACTTGAAAGATACTCTAAACATGTGTCGGGACAACTGAAGCGATGGGCCACCTAACACCCCTACGGTATGTCGCGAAATCATCCACAAACTTCATATGAGTTTACATTGCGAGATAGCAGTTCTGTTCGGACTACTGCTTTCTATCATCCGGCGTTATCAGACTCATGTTTTTTGGGACATTTCATTCACACTTCCAATGGCTCATCCAGGCTGCTTTGATGCTCCGCCCGTTCTGCTTTCTTGCCAGTCTCACTATTGGTAGCAGGGTACATTTACATACCTGGATCGTCTGTCGGTTGTTGATTTATAGTGATAGGAGACTCGTGCAATTAATTCTCACAAACTAGCACACGTCCTCACATTGGTGCAATTTCGGGTTTAGGAGCCGGGAGAATGATCTATCACTTTTGTCTGAAGTCCTCTGTGATCCAATACCCTTTAAATAACGCAGACAGTCTATTGAAAACATTGCATTTGGAACTCAGCAAAGCACTGGACAGCTGTTTACTGTTAACTGCCTTTTTATTAGTCGACCGTTCAATTAACGTATAATGAAGGGCAGTAGCTGGTTTTTCTTTTTTGGGGACCGAACAAGTTTTCCTAAGTACCACTGATTAATACCATGTTCTCCTTGGGGGTGCAAACTAGTGCAAGAAACGTACATAAGACACTTTAGAAGTATATTCAGATTGCAATTCTAGATATACAGTCTTTTAAGATCGTTACATTGTATCCTCTCTGGAACGGACATTCTTGGCATCAGCCGGTATCGTTCGCTCGTGTGGAGTATTCTCCAGAGAAGGTTCAGTAGTGTGAGGATTTGAGGCCGACAGGAGTTATTCTCTCCCGTGCACTTTTTCTAAAAAAACAGTTGTTTAACCTTAACACTGATACTTTGACTCGGCACGGTTTTCAATGCACCCGGCTTTCCCCACTCCAGTTGGTTAAATTTTTGAGGCACCTATTGCTACGCCATAGAACATTCTGGTGTTTTCAATGGACGAAATACATTGGTTTTTGTGTGCTCATTTTCGCGGTGAGGTTTCCGGAAGAACTCTGTCATTCGTGCATACGCTGATGATATCGTATTTAAAACCGAGTTACACCCATTCCACTCGATTTACCCGAGAACTTTGCAAATGTTAGGGTGACCAATATGTTCCCCACATTTGGATGCATCAACCTTAGCGGCTGCTGAAGGCACTACGGTTAGGAAGCAAAAATTACTGAGGCACGAATTGAGGGTTTTCGATCCGAAAACGGTGTAATGATGACGACCGGATCTATGTGATCAGTTTGCTCATTAGGCACGCGAGCGAGACTTAGTGTGTGTGTGTGTGTGTGTGTGTGAGTACGGAACTCTAGACGCTACCCCTCGAAAGTGAACAATTGTACTTTCCATTCTAAAATAGCTTGTGGTACCCAGAGAAGCAAACCTTTAGGCAAAAAAACGCTTCTGGGAGGCAGGCTAGTATCTTGGCAATCATTAATGTGCATCGAGAGATCGCTTTCACAGAATAACACCTTAAAGTGTTGAATCATGAACGAACCTCGTAAGACTCGTGTCATTGCTTACAGGAGTGGCAGCTCATAAGATGGATAGCCAAATAACTCCGGTATAATTTTGAAAGCATTGCCAGATCAGCAATGACGGCATCATCAAGGGTCAGAAGTATGATGACTTGTCAACACAGGCCAACTTACTAGGTTTGGCCAATTGATTGGTCGTGACGAGCCAACCAAGAAACACGTAACGAGCAGGTATGATATCGTGCTAGAACAGTGTGCGGGTGATTGCTATTCCACCATTCCACGGGGAAGAGTAATAAGCATTTTCTATAGAGAAAAATGTTGGTGGCTGAGGTAGCGTAGATGGTCGTTGGCTTGTTCGCTGAGCTGGGCAATTTGATTGCAAACGTTTCATCACCAGTCGAGATGACATCATCAGTGAGTTATTGGTGAACGTAGTGGTGCGTGGCGGTGGCCGTTGGCTCAACTACTAACCACCAACGCATCACCTCGATTGGTGATGAAACGTTCGCAATCGAATTGCTCAGCTCAGCGAACAAGCCAATGACCAGTAATAAACATTTTTGTGATTTTCGCAAATTCAACTCTTATTACATTTTCAAGGATCATATTTCCCTTTCTGATATGCCATCTCTATATTGTTTTTTGGTCTGTTCCAATACCGAGCGAAATACTTTATTATTGTCATTTATTTTGTTTATTAGTAGTGGGTAGACCACCTGAATTACTCGAATTCTAGTTTTGTTGAATGGTGGAAATCAACGGGAGGTTGAACGTGATCGATCTATACAAGAAGAATAAAACTTGGTGTTTGTCACAATATCATTTACTGGGATGCTGATTAGATGGCATAACGACCAAATGATGCTCTTAGGGTCAAATCGATTTGCTACTGGGATTGAAGCCAATGAATTGGATGACTGGGGCCTGTTCATTCGCATTTTCCGGGCGTTGAATCTCTTCAACAACGCCGTTTTTTCTGTCACATCACTGCAGCTCCTTGTTCGAATCTACTCAAACGTTTTCTCCCCGCTCAACAGGCCATACTGATTGAATTTACGAAACCTCTGGTCACCGTCAGACCAGTTCCACTCCCATCTGATGTGGTGTTTGTGGTCGCGCATTCCGGAGTACACGCCCGAAAAGCAGCCACCTCAATGTACAACGAGCGTGTGTCTGAATGCCGTCTGGCAGCAAAGGTGAGTGATCATTCGTTGTCCAGTCGTGTGACTTTACGGAACTGGTACAACTACTAGCTCAGTCCTTCCAGTCACCACACTGCTTATACCCGAACGGAGCTTGCCAACCAAACAGGAAAGCGATACTAACCCGTACCACTTCGTAGTGTGTCCGTGCTAGGTGCCGAGATGTACACAAATGAATATTGTCTAGCTGTGACGTTCTTGCATAATGGTCATGCCACCAGGTAATAGCAACCAAGAAGATGAGAATGAATCCTAATGCAATATCATTTTGATTATGGGCTTCGGCCTTGGATCATCTCGGCTAATATGCCTCTACCGTATTTTACAGTAATCCCGCTAAAAGAAGGCCACACTGGGGAAACGAACTGGCCAGATCGTGGTTGGCTGTTGTGGTCTCTTCGCAGAGGCGTATATCCTTCCGAGGAATCACTGCTGTCTGAAGCATCAGTCGACGCGTGACTGAATCGTTGGTTTTCCTCAAATAGTCCTGCCCATGCCGCACAATTTCTGAAAAGCTTATAAGGAAAGATCTTCAAGAAAACCAGATTGCTCGTTTTCCTCGATTACGAGCACGCTCATAAAGTCGGCGTCAATCAAACGCATCTAAGGATTTGCGTGTGCTTGTCAGTAAGTCCGCTTAATGTCCGCACGGGTGCTGACGGTAGCACTAGAACTAAGACGATAAAGAAACTCACCGCAAACTTTTGAATTTGCAGATATTGTGAAATTCGAATGTATTGGACTGTCCTCAGAAAACCTGGTGTCCATTGAGAAAACGGGAAAACCGTTATTGGGCTGCAATCAGAATGCATTATATAGCGAAATCCTGCTCTAGCATATAGGATTTGGCCTCTGTGTTGTTCTTATAGGAAGTCTTCCGAATTTTCAATGGATAGTTTATAAGTACAGTGATTAACGGGAGGTTGAACGTGATCGATCTATACAAGAAGAATAAAACTTGGTGTTTGTCACAATATCATTTACTGGGATGCTGATTAGATGGCATAACGACCAAATGATGCTCTTAGGGTCAAATCGATTTGCTACTGGGATTGAAGCCAATGAATTGGATGACTGGGGCCTGTTCATTCGCATTTTCCGGGCGTTGAATCTCTTCAACAACGCCGTTTTTTCTGTCACATCACTGCAGCTCCTTGTTCGAATCTACTCAAACGTTTTCTCCCCGCTCAACAGGCCATACTGATTGAATTTACGAAACCTCTGGTCACCGTCAGACCAGTTCCACTCCCATCTGATGTGGTGTTTGTGGTCGCGCATTCCGGAGTACACGCCCGAAAAGCAGCCACCTCAATGTACAACGAGCGTGTGTCTGAATGCCGTCTGGCAGCAAAGGTGAGTGATCATTCGTTGTCCAGTCGTGTGACTTTACGGAACTGGTACAACTACTAGCTCAGTCCTTCCAGTCACCACACTGCTTATACCCGAACGGAGCTTGCCAACCAAACAGGAAAGCGATACTAACCCGTACCACTTCGTAGTGTGTCCGTGCTAGGTGCCGAGATGTACACAAATGAATATTGTCTAGCTGTGACGTTCTTGCATAATGGTCATGCCACCAGGTAATAGCAACCAAGAAGATGAGAATGAATCCTAATGCAATATCATTTTGATTATGGGCTTCGGCCTTGGATCATCTCGGCTAATATGCCTCTACCGTATTTTACAGTAATCCCGCTAAAAGAAGGCCACACTGGGGAAACGAACTGGCCAGATCGTGGTTGGCTGTTGTGGTCTCTTCGCAGAGGCGTATATCCTTCCGAGGAATCACTGCTGTCTGAAGCATCAGTCGACGCGTGACTGAATCGTTGGTTTTCCTCAAATAGTCCTGCCCATGCCGCACAATTTCTGAAAAGCTTATAAGGAAAGATCTTCAAGAAAACCAGATTGCTCGTTTTCCTCGATTACGAGCACGCTCATAAAGTCGGCGTTAATCAAACGCATCTAAGGATTTGCGTGTGCTTGTCAGTAAGTCCGCTTAATGTCCGCACGGGTGCTGACGGTAGCACTAGAACTAAGACGATAAAGAAACTCACCGCAAACTTTTGAATTTGCAGATATTGTGAAATTCGAATGTATTGGACTGTCCTCAGAAAACCTGGTGTCCATTGAGAAAACGGGAAAACCGTTATTGGGCTGCAATCAGAATGCATTATATAGCGAAATCCTGCTCTAGCATATAGGATTTGGCCTCTGTGTTGTTCTTATAGGAAGTCTTCCGAATTTTCAATGGATAGTTTATAAGTACAGTGATTCGAAATTCTCTCCCATGTGCGATGTTGAGTCGCAAGTGGTACTTTTTCATTGGATCAGTCGTTACGTGTGGCTCTGCACCAAAGAGTGCACAAGGTGCTCTACAAGAATCTTTAATCCGCACGAACGAAACCAATGCCGTTAAGCGTTCTGTCGCGTGATTCCTGTCATCAGAATGCACTTGTTTGTCAGCAAAATGCCGTACATCTGGTTCGCGGAGAATATTCTTTGTGGAGGGTTTCTCAGCTTTAGGTCTACGTTTTGCTGCGAGGGTTATTGATTGTGGACAAATGTAGATTGCTTTGACCTGGTGCGAATTCGGAAGTGATATTCGAGTTGCGATGATGACATGTGCCAAATAAAGTCAGAATGACGGAGCTGGGACGCGTGTTTTAGGTCCTGGGCTTTTTAGGGGTCAAATATATGTCCAAAGCCACTCTGTCGTGGAAAAATTGACTTTGAAAAAACTGTTTTTTGATAACTGCTTATCTGGTTGGTACAGTTATGCATTTGATAAAACGCAATGGAAACGAAGACTTTAGTAGTCACTATTGGTAGAGAAACGCGGTTATGTTCAATTTATTCGGTTCGGTACTTTTGTGTTTCCCTTTTCTCTTGCAAACCCTATTTGAAACAAGCTATGTAGTTTTCTGCCGATCCACTCTGTTGTCTGCTTATTTCATATGGACAGCGAGTTTCTTCAACAGCCACCGTGAGATATCCACTGAGATAAACATGATCAGATGGACAATTTTTCTCTGATCGTATTTCCGTAGTATTTGAAGTCGTGAAGACTTTAGGCATTTGCATCTGTGGCCGTTAATTCGTTCACTGGACTATGCAAGCTGGCTACAATCGCGCCAACACCACCGACGAGCTAGTTTGGTAAAAGTCATCACCGAGGATGGTGGGAAACTCCATGGTACGTACGACCCCTTGACCTTTCGCTGAGTGACTTGGACACATATCATTATTTAACTCCCCCAAAGTGCAGTTCTTTTATGTCTAACAGCTGATCCCGAAGAAGAAATCCTTCGTTTTTGACATAATTGATATCGATAGTATTCTGTGGACTTAGATCCATCTCAGGGCAAGGTCCTGGCTTCATTTGTTGGCGACCCTTCATAATTTGGAGATTTGATGTTGGTAACAGGACCATTGCGAGCAATTTCCCCACCGCGTTTCCCATGCCTTTCGCATGAATCCCTGACCCCATTCATTTGTTTCAGTTAATCGTTCCATCCGTTTTTCATTCTCAATATTATTTCTTAGTGTTGTAAGTATTCGTGCGAATCACAAGCGTACATTCAAACCGGGGACAGTAGTTGTCCTATATCCCTCTGGGCGACATACGTCCCACACCTGTTTTTGTCCCGCTTCGTGGCCATCGCCTACCAGAGATGCATGTGACCCTTGATTAATTGGCGAGTTGGGGCTGAACGAGGTTAAACATTTGGTACGACCGTTGTTCGTACACATCGCCATCGTGGGTAGCGATCCGGTTGGCGACCAGTAGATGTTTTGTCTGTGATGTTATTTTGGTCTCTTATGTTGTAACCTTTCTTAGTCTAAGGCGAAGTGATAGCTCGGATTCTGCTTACTGTATTTGGTTATAGTAGAAAAAATGGTGGGATAATCCTGACTGGGGCTGGAGTACGCCTTTTCCATACAACTCCCTCAAACGAATAGAACAATCCATGTAACAGGGACTACTTCAGATAGCCGCTCCTAAGTTTGCTTCTAATCAGAAGGGAATTTATGTGGGTCTCCTTCGGAGGAGTGGTTAAAGCGTGCACCGATTGACTGGAAAGCTCGTGTTTCGCACCCAACTCCGGCATCTGGACTGCTGCCGTCTAGGTTTCGGCACTGTGGCAAAATCTCAGTTTTCATACTTTCATCGAGTAGCATGATAGTTGGCGCCTAAAGGGTATTCCAACTGAACGAATATCATTTATCATTGAAGGGAGGCGTCAGCAGTAGCATGTTTTCACTTACCCGCCCTGCTGTATGCGACAAGTAAGGCGACCCGGCTGACGGCACCACGCGACGGCCGATGTGGTCCCTTTTCTAGGGGTCTATTCTGGTGGCCCACTGTGTTTGTGACTGAATACAAATAATCGCCAAATGTTTGATCGATTTCAATCAGAACAGAGTACAGTGTTTAGAGTAAAGTCAGGAGTGGTTCGAATTGCGGTGTTTGTTTAACTTCTACCACCCATTAGATCGATATCCAAAATAAGCGCACCAATGAGTAACCAGATTCCTGTTAATTGGAAGCCAAAGACAGAGCTTTGCAAGCGGTCGTGCTCTTTTCCTGTTCTTCCTGAGCTCATTTTTTCTCCAAGCATTCAAAAATATCCAATACATCGCATGTAATGTAGCCACTCTTGGGGAGAATTGAGCGAGCATTATTATGTATCCACTTAGGGTCTTACACACTGGGGGGAATTGAAGTTATTTCCGGACAGAAAGCGCGTTGCTCACCACAATACTGTACTTATTAAACTGATGCTTTTTGCAACTTCACCTCAGCACGTTACGATGCACAGTACCATATTGCGAAGAGTTTCCAGCAACCTTATAAGTAGTGTGTTACGTCTGTACATGTGTCGCGGTATCTCGTGCCAACTGAGACATGAGGTGGCCTGGTGCAGCACATTCGATTGCTTAAACACATAAACGAGAGACTCCAGGCGAGTTCCCCGTCAAAACCAAATTGGTATGCAAATGGGTGTATTTCGCATATCGCGAATTCTTCTAACTTGGTTCGGATAGTCCTCAGGCCTGTTTTGTTCCAGGCACACTTTATGGTAGTGCTCGCCTATTTTGTTACAACTCTTCGGAAACCGTGTTCATCACTTGGTTTCAGCCCTCTGTACTCGACTGTTTACACAAAACCTCACGTACTGATAGAGTGAGTTCAGTCAATAGGAGTTGACACTTTTACCTGCACTTGACTCTTTCCGATTTCGTCTAACCATTTAACATACGATACACAAGGAAGATACACACTCATTTAAGTTTCCAGCGTTGAACAACTGATAAGGTTTTTTATAGTTGAGGAACATTCTATTACGCGTGCGATTACCGTTTTCCCCTAACATGTGTCCTACTCAATAGCCGAAACACATCACGCTGTCAAAATGGCGTTCGAATTCTAGTTGGACTATCTCTGACGTAGCTTAATAACGGGGACATCTAGGTAGCGAGATGCAGTCACCCATAAACAGACGTCCTGTGATTGGAGGAGGGTATTCATTACCGTGTCGAGGTCAGCAGATTGCAGGTGATCCCACAACAGGTAAGCCCACATCAAAGCCCTTCAAGGTGAAATCCTTTATTAGCAAACATTAACCCAGGAGTTTCAACTATTGGGCAGGGAAGTAAACGTCTCATGTGCACATAGTTTTTAAAAACTGGGCATTCTTACACGTCTTCTTGCACTTCCACGGATATTCATGGGAATATCAAGCAATTTTAAACGAACAATGCGAAACAGTTCCATCAGTCCCGTAATAAACTTCACCTTCCGTTAGAAGCGGGGTGGTTTGGATGTTGTGAACACAAATGTTGATGAAATTTCACTCTGTTGTACTAATGACAATGTTTGTCCCCTGAATAGGGGACGCTACTGTGTCTCTTGAAAAAAAACGTTATAAACAGCTCAACAACCCAAGTTTTGCCCTTCTTATGGCTCATCAGATAAGTACGATCCACGAGTTTTCACCAAGCTTAAGTCCTACTCGAACCCATTCGCCAAATACACTCATTTGCATGCCGTTTCGATTTCAACGGGAGACTAAACTGAATTGCAGCTGAATTTCTCGTTTATTATGTATTTCTTTGACTGAGTATGTTACACTAGACCGCCTCACGTTTCGCTTGGCACGATATCGTGATACTATGTATAGATGTAATACACTACTCACAAGGTTGGTGAAAGCTCTTCGAAATCCCACGACCGGTTTCGCGCTTGGCTCATCAGGTAGGCACAGTCCCCCAGTTTCCGTCAACCTTATGTTCTACTTGAACCCAAATCACACAGAATTAGCGCAATACAATCATTTGAAAACCAATTTGGT